TTTTCAATAACGGAAAAATCAATTTTGGTGATATCCCTTCAAGACTGTAGTCTCCATCATGGAAATCCACAACTGGTCAAAATGCAGAGAGCAACTGACTCTGTGGTGGTGCCCAACTCCAACTGATACATCCACAATACAATACAGTACAGTACAGATAATACATATAATACAGTACAGTACAGTACATATAATACATATAATACAGTACAGAACAGTACATATAATACATATAATACAGTACAGAACAGTACATATAATACATATAATACAGTACATTACATATAATACATATAATACAGTACAGAACAGTACATATAATACATATAATACAGTACAGAACAGTACATATAATACATATAATACAGTACAGTACAGTACATATAATACAGCACAATCCAATCCAACCCCTATGGCTCAGGGAACATTGAGAAGGGGTGGTTGTGGCAGCCGGAGGACAAGGATGCCTACCTACTTACTATAAATAAGATAGTGTAGGGAAGCCACACGCAGAAAATCTGAACACTGTGGTCACCTAAACAAGGCAGCAGCAGTTGCCATCCACAGTGAGGAGGGAAGTCTTGAAAGACTCCACCCTTAGATGAAAGCGGCAACTGTGGCTACTAAGTAAGGGAGAGCCCGTCTTCTCCTGGTGCTAACCCTTGGTAGATTACCCAGTTTGAAGTAGTCGTGAATCTGGGTGGAAGTGGTAAGGACACGAGATGAGTTGGAAGAATGAGAGCGGGGCGGAAGTGATGTGAATCCAGTACCCAAGTGTGAAATTCGCTGCAAAACAAAACCGTGGCCTCATTCATGGACGGCTTCTTTTCCAACCTACTGCCTCCCTGCAGCTTCCTTTTTTACCTTGCTCTTTTCAGTCATTCATTTTTAATCTCAAGACAGGGTCTCACCGTGTAGCCCTGGCTGGCCAGGGACTTGCTGTAACCCTGACTGGCCTTGAACTCACAGAGGTCTGCTTTCCCCTACCTCCAGAAAGCTGGGATTGAAAGTGTGGGCCACTATGCTCAACCTTTATCTTACTCTGTCTCTCTGTCTCTGTCTTTCTGTGTGTTCATGCTGAAATATGCTTGTATTTGTCCATCTTTCTGTATGGGTATTATCCAATGGAAATACAATGCAAGCTGCATATATAATTTAAAATGTCTTCCTCCAACTCAACCTTTCTAGGGAGCAGAAAGGTTGAGTCGGGGGAAGAATAGAAGAAAACAAGATAAGAGATACCATAATAGAGGGAGACATTTTAGGTTTAAAGAGAAATCGGGCACTAGGGAAATGTCTGTAGAGCTACAAAGATGAGACCAGCTAACAATCTAAGAAACAGAGGAGAGGCTACCTTAAATGCCCTCCCCTGATAATGAGATTGATGACTGACTTATATGCCATCCTATAGCCTTCATCCAGCATCGGGTAGAAGTAGAAGCAGACACCCACAGCTAATCACTGAACTGGAATCCAGTTGCAGAGAAGGATGAGTGATGAGCAAAGGGGTCCATATTATGATCTTTAAACCCACAGAAACAGCTGACCTGAACAAGGGGGAGCTCGTGGACCCCAGACTGATAGCTGGGAAACCAGCATGGAACTGATGCAGATCCCAGGAATGTGGGTGTCAGTGAGGAGACCTTGGAAATCTATGGGGCCTCCTGTAATAGTCCAGTACTTATCCCTAGCATAGGTGTGGGCTTTGGGAGCCCATTCCACATAGAGGGACACTCCCTGAGCCAAGACACATGGGGATGGACCTAGGCCCTATCCCAAAGAATATGACAGTCTCTGAAGACCCCCTATGGAAGGCCTCACCCTCCCTGGTGAGGTATGTGATAGGTAGGGTTTTAGTTGGGGGGGGGAGGGGAGGAGAGGAGGGAGAGGGAACTGGGATTGACATGTAAAACAATCTTGTTTCTAATTCAAATAAAAAAATGAAAAAAAAGTCTTTTAGTCACATTAAACAACAAAATGAAACAGGTGACATTAATTGTACTTATTTTATTAATTCTAACTTACATTTTCACCATTTCCACACGTACACAATACAAAAATATTAATGAATATTTTTGGGGGATAAGTTACATTTACAGCACATTCCAAATTAAAATGATCATATTCAGTTGTTCAAAAGCCACATGGGAAAAGCACCTACTGGGCAATGCATCTTTCTAACTTCCCTCTTTTTTTATTTTTTATTTTTTTGGTTTTTCTCTAGACAGGGTTTCTCTGTGTAGCTTTGGAGCCTATCCTGGCACTCGCTCTGGAGACCAGGCTGGTCTCGAACTCACAGAGATCCGCCTGCCTCTGCCTCCTGTGTGCTAGGATTAAAGGTGTGCGCCGCCACCGCCCAGTGTTACTTCCCTCTTTCATGCGGTTGCCTCATCCCTAACCACGCTAACAGAAAGCAGTGCACCGCAAAAATGCTATGCATTCAGAAACCACTGATGTTGAATGATCCACCAGTGTGGACAGAATAGGAAACACCAGAAATAACCGAGTTTCTTCTGTGACTGTCAGCAACATCTGTAATCTTTTCCCGGGGATGAAAGTAGCATTTCTTAGCTGTCAGTTTTTGGTGGCTCACATCCCCTCTTTCCCAGCATGAAGCCGTGTCCTCCTACATTCGCCTAAGGATTCTTTTTCCAGTGCGCGAAACCTGCCATCTGGGGGTATTTCCCTGTGCTGGAGCATGTGTCTAATTAACACTCACACAGGAAGCTCCACTTGGTGTTTACAATGGCCTTTCCGGGATTTTTATTATCCCCTCTGTTTTAAAGGTGAGGAAACAAGCCGGGGAGGCTTAGAGTTGTTCATCAACACAATCCAGTTAGAGGATGGCCCAGCTGAGGTCTCAAGCTAGACACGGACACTCCCCAAATCTAAGGCCGGTGTTTTGCTAATAGAGTCTCCCACGTGGTGGTTATTCTACCTGGCAAGAAAAAACAAGAGTTCAGCAGTCCTGTGGTCAGACCTTTCTGCTTTTTCAGGAAAAAGGAAATCCCATTTCTTTCTGGGGTGGAGGGAGGCTGAGTGAGTTCTCCCATGAACATCCAGCATTGGAGCTCATGCTGTTGATTCAACCGCGATGCCCTTCCCCTTTATTAGAAATGTTTCCGGATTTAAACCCTAGTTTATAAGGACCATTTAATGACCCTGTCCAAAGAGGAAGCAGAGGTTTCAGATTCTTCGCAGAGCAAAAAAGAACTGACATGAAAGGGTTTGCGCGAGGTCATTGGTCTCATCGTGACTTTGACTTGGCCTTGATCTTTATTTAGCGTTTTAGTTTTATGTTCTGCAACAAGTTTGGCCATGTTGGAGGACCATCCAAAGGTCAGCGAGTTGGCTGCTGGCGATTGGGCGCTCACCCGGACGCCAGGGTCTATTACTGTGCCTGTGGAAATCCCCAGCTCACCTCGGCTTGATGTTCCAGCTACTTTCCGAAAGTCACAGGCTTTGCAGCCTGTTTGTGTACTACTCCGTAAGAACCCAAGACTGCGGGGCCCTGGGTGAGAGTGACCAGCGAGGATCAAACCCGTGCACCAGCACTGCCAGCCAGCGTGTTGGTGGACTTGATAGGGCTTGCTTTGCTTAGGTAGTGGAACAAAGTGGCGAGTTGCTGAATGGCGAAAACTTTGGGTCAGCAAGTCAAGGAGACCAACACCAAAAGAAAACCCTTTCTGTAAATGTGGGCAGTGAGAAGGCTTTGCCAGGCAGGCTGTTCTCCCCACAAGAGACTGTCCCGTGTATTACAGGTTTGTGAAGACAGGTGCACTCAAGGACACAGGGTCCCTAGCCTCTCAGGCGCGTGACTCAACTTTTTGATTCTCTACGCCTGGCCCTTCCTTCTTCCTCTGTTGTAAGCCCAAAGATCTATATAGAGAAAGGAAGGAGACCTTTTAGGGGTTCTTTCTACTTAAAAGTCAATTCCTAGACAGGTGTTGGTGGTGCACGCCTTTAATCCTAGCCCTTGGGAGGCAGAGGCAGGTGAATCTCTGCGAGTTGGAGGCCAGCCTGGAGCAAGTTCCAGGACAGCCAGGGCTACAGAGAGAAACCCTGTCTCCAAAAACCAAAACCAACCAACCAAACAAACAAAAGGTAAATTCCTACCTGTGCTGATGTCACCTGACCTATCCTTGTCATCCTTCACTATGGCCCCACCCCATGCACAGTGAATAGCAGTTTTATGGTTCAGAGTATCTCGTCAGGCCTGTTACTCCAGAAAGAAGTGGCAACTATTTCTTGTTGTTATCTGGAGTTCTTGTTAAAAAAGCAGTTTCTGATCCTGTAGGTCTGGGGTGGGGCATTTCTTTTTTTTTCTTTTCGTTTTTTTAAAAGATTTTACTTATTTATTATGTATACAATATTTATTATGTATACAATATCCATATATATTTGCACACCAGTAGAGGACACCAGATCTCATAAGGGATGGTTGTGAGCCACCCATGTGGTTGCTGGGAATTGAACTCAGGACCTCTGGAGGAGCAGTCAGTGCTCTTGACCTCTGAGCCATCTTTCCAGCCCTGGAATGACCTATTTCGAGTCTGCATTTGTGACTCTGTCTTTGGGTGATGTTGACTGTGCTGGGACAAGGGCTGTGACTGGAGTAGCAAGACTAAAGTTTGAAGTAACTAATGATTTCCAGGGGGATACCACAAAGAAACAAGCAAAACAAAGTGATTCTACCGGTAGCTGTTCCTAAGAGAAATAAATATGTTGATTTTGCAATAGTGATACTTAACCCTGACTCCACAGTGGAGCTTATTATTTTTTGTACAGAAAATACTTTGGAAGCAGATGTTTATAGTGAGAAGTGAGCTGGGTTGGGAGTTACGGGGGGCCTTGAGAACCTGATATCTGTAACATTGATTCTGTTAAGGAATAGAAAATATCTACCGTGCTTCAAAAATACATTGACAAAAGCATAGATTTGTTGTCAGTTTAAAATGAGAAAGTAGAAGAGAAACACCATTCGTTTGCTTCTTCGTTAGGAGTCGGTTCTGGGACAAGCCCTCTTCTTGGCATCGGGGAACGTGGCCGATGCAATTTCCTGCTCCCATGAAGCTTGGAGTTGGCTGATCAAGACAAATGCCAAAGAGGAAACGATGATAATAAGTAGGGTAAGGCTTTTTTTTTTTTTTCATTTGTTTTCCATTAGCAGGTATCAATTTTACAAAGTTTTAGGCTTCCTTGTGATAGTTTAATGCATGTTTCTAATGAACTTTTATCATACTAGAGATATGAGAATTTGACATATAAGGATTAGAGGTAGTAAAAGCACCAGGTACCAAGAAGATACACAAGGTGAATGATCTTTCTTTAAATACTTGAGGGGGACCTTCCTTGTTTTTATAATTAGATTTATTTATATTATTTTATGTGTGTTTTGCCAGCGTGTATCCATGTGCGTCGCATGCATGTTTTAGTACCATAGAGGTCAGAACAGGGCACTGGATCCCCTGGAACTGGAGCTATGGATGGTTGTGAGCTATCTCCCATGTAGGTGCTGAGACTCGAACCTGGGTCTGCTGCAAGAGCAACAGATGCCTTTAACAGCTGAGCTCTCTCTCCAGTCCTGGACCGGGTGGGGTGGGGTGGGGCTTCTTAGCAAGGTGGTGTTGAAACTGGGATCTACAGGCAGTGTCCCTGACATGATTAGAGATCCACTGATGTGAATCCAGGTGACCAGAGAGTGTGTCTGAGCACAGGGAGTGAAGGAGCTTAACCCTTTGTGGGTCTGGAGTGGAGCAGTGCTTAACAGGACGCGTGTGATTACAGGAGGCAGAAACCAACTCACGGGAGCTTAAGTATAAGAGGGAATCTCATTGGCTGAGTAAACGGAACAGGGTGGAGCTGGCCTTAGACAAGGAGAAGTGAAATGATCTCTCTTCCTCTCCTCTTCTTCTCCCTCCACGAGGAACGCTTCTTCATGTGGTTGGAAACCCACAGGTTTTGATCTCAACTGTCTCACCCAGCAGCCCAGTCTCAATACAACATAAACACTGAGGACTCCTGTCTTCCAGAGTGAATACGTTAGTAAAATGCCCAGGAATTCTGGCTGGGTCTTGATGTGCAGGCCTAACCCAATGCCTATGGTTGGGAGAGGAGTATTGACTTGCCCAACCCACAAGAATCACAAGGATGCTGTAATAAGCTATGGAGAAAATGGTTTCAATCACCAGGATCAAAGGTTGCAAAGTGATGCTGGCCACATAGATAATATGTATGCTTCAAGCAAGCAGTAGGGGGGAGTAGGGTGAAGGCTCAGTGCTAGAGAGAGGTGTTTCCTGAAGAAGCCCGGCAATTTAAATTTGACCCCTGAAACCCATGTAGGTATAAGGAGAGGACTGACCCCACACAGTATGTGGTAGGAATTTGGAGGGAGTATTCACACCATCTCCACACACTAAACTTTAACTTTTTTTTTAGGTTTATTTTGATTATTTTTAATTCTGCATGTCTGTGTGAGAGGGCTTGAGCACATGAGTGCCTGCAGAGGCCGGTAGAGGGGGCTGGAGGTTCTGGAGCTGGAGTCATAGGTGGGTATGAGTTACCAGATGTGGGCTCCAGGAACTGAACTCAGGTCCTCTTTAGGAGTAGTATGTGCTCTTAACCATCGAGCGTCTCTTTGGTCTACACATTAGACATATTTGTTTGTTTGAGGCAGGGTCTCATACGGTAACCCAGGCTGGCCTTGAACTTGTAACAATCCACCTGCCTTACACTTCCTAGAAATGCCACGCACCATCCAGTCTTGGACATTCTCTGACTTCGTCTTAAATGACAGGGTACTGATAGGGTATCTGTACTGTGTGGGGAGAGAAAAGAAGAAACAAAAGCCTTTGTAAGTTGTACAGGTTATTGTTGTGTACAAAACATAAAGAGATGGCATAAGGATAAAATTTACTTTCATCACAGTCATTGCTGCAACTGCCCTTAAGACGCTGCTCAGCACCGGAGAGTGATGGCAGCACAGTCCCTGGGCCAGGAGACAGGGTTATTATGAGTTTGTTGAGGTCATAGCCTTCTTTCGGAGTTCTTTTGAAAACAATCCTTTCTTCTATAAGCTTTACGATCAAATAAGATGATATGTAGTTACAGTAATTGATTTCTCATAAATTAGGCAGAGGAACACTATTCCAACTTAATTAAAACATGCAAGGCTGTGATTTATGCAGTGTTTACAATTGGTCAAAGGGGGAATAGCCATTAATGCCATAGTGTTGGGACTAATAGAAGTAGGAAAGCTCTTGATCTTTTTTTTTTTCTTCAGATTTTAGCTCAGATATCATGCACTGAATAGTTATGATTGGACAAGATCATGGAAGTGTCCCTCAAAGTGAACTGTAGACTTGGTGAATTGTGTGTCTGCATATTCAGGGAATTCATTTTATTTTATTTTTTTGTGAGAGTATGTGTGTCATGTATGTGGGTGGTGTTTGTGCATGTATGTAGATGCATGTAAATACAGTGGTCAGAAAAGCATGCAAAGTATCCTGCTCCAAGCCAATACCCCTTATTCCCTCAGGACAGGGTTTTCTCACTCACCTGGAGATAAGCTGGTAGCCAGCAAGCCCCGATGACCCTCTTGTCTCTGCCTCCCACAGTGCTGTGGTTACAGGCAAGGGTGGCCAAGCCTGGCTCCTTTCTGTGCAGTTGCTGGGCATCTAAACTCAGTTCCTAATGCTTGTGCAAATGCTCTGTCTCACTGAGTGGTTTCCGCAGCTCCAATTTAAGGAACCCGTAAGGGAAATGTCTAGGCTGCATATTACTTAGACCTGCCCTATTCAGTATGGCAGCTAGTTCTTGGGGACAGGGAGATAGCTGAGTTGGTATTTCCCACGGAGGTATGATGACTCAAGTTTGATCCCCAGAACCAAAGGACAAAGCTATTCATGGTGACACAGCTTGTAATCACAGTGCTGGAGAGGCAGAAACAAAGGATCCCCTGGGCTTGTGTTAGCCAGCCACCCTAGCCTAATTGGTGAACCCCAGGTTCTTGTGAGGGTCCTATCCAAAACAAAACAAAACAAAGGTGGGCAGGTCCTGGCAACACCATCTAAGACTACCCTTTGGCACACACACTTACTGTGCAATTTATGAGACTAGCATCTGCCATATTGAATACTGCCTTCATCGCACACAGTTCTGTTAGGCGGTGCTAACTGATAGCATCAATGAGTCACCCTTTATCTTTGAAGTAAGAGAAGTTGAATAAAACTTCCTTTAAAGACAGTATTAAAAATATTTGTGGTTTTTTTTGTATTTTTTAAAAGATTTTATTTATTTATTTATTATGTATACAACATTCTGCTTTCATGTATATGTGCACACCAGAAGAGGGCACCAGATCTCATAACGGATGGTTGTGAGCCACCATGTGGTTGCTGGGAATTGAACTCAGGACCTTTGGAAGAGCAGCCAGTGCTCTTAACTGTTGAGCCATCTCCCCACCCCCTCAAAATATTTGTTTTATTTTACTTGTATATTTTTTCCTGCCTGCATAATGTATGTATGTTCATGCTGTGTGTGTGCCTGGTGCCTGCAAAGGTCAGAAGAGAGCATTGGATCCCTTGGAACTGAAGTTTTGGATGGTTGTGAGCCACTGTGTGGGAGATGAGAGTTGAACTTGGGTCTGCTGTAAGAACAAGTGTTTCTTAACCACCGAGCCATCTTTCTAGACCCTGAACAAAGCTTTTAAAAGGGGGTTTTCTTTCCTTGTGCCCCACTGTAAGCACTGTCAAATCTTTGGAGTATGACATACTCCAAAGCAGCCCCATCTCTTTCCTTTGCTGGTCACAACTCTCCAAGAGCCCATTTTTACTTTTGCTGTAATTTGCATATGGTTGGAGTGTGGCTCCAGGTTCCATTTGGGGAATCTCGGTGGCACGTGCTGGGAGTGGTGGGCTCTGGAAGAGGTGGGAAACTCGGTGGCTTTGTTATGGGGGTGCTCCCCTGGATGTCATGCGTGTGTGGTGGGACTCTAATTAGTTAAAGAAAAAAAATGAGCCAGGTCCCCGAGTGCCTCTGGCTTCCTGTGTTACCTGGAAGGTCCTTGATTTGCCCAGGTTCTTGTCATGACGTCACCTGCCATGGTGAGATGTAGTCAGGAAGAGTTTGTGAGAATTGAGCTGCTGCAATGATCTTGGATCTTTGAAACTGTGTGCTAATAAGATTCTTATCTGTAAAGGGACCAGACTCAAATCTTTTGCTATGGCAACAGAAAATGTGTTAATACGGTCTCCAATCTAGACAACTTCAAAATTCTCCTCTTATTTCCATTTGTGTATGGTCTTCATATACCTACCTGAAATGGATTTCAAAAACCGTATGTTAGGTGTATTTTTTTAAAAATTTTTAATAAAAAAGAACAAAAAGAAATATGCAATAAGAAAACCAAAAGTTTGTTACATTTTCACTGTATGTAATTTGCACTGTCTTTAAAAACTAAGTCATCGTTACTCTTTATAATACATAAGAACGATGCTATCATTCCTGCCTCTTCCCAAAGACAGAAATTAAATTCCAGAGGAAACAAGGAGCTTATCTGTATTCTACCACCATGAACTGGCAGAGCTGTCGAGGGAATGCAGGATAGCTGTGACAGCCAAGTTTAGAAAGCATTAACTTGGGCTGCCTGGCAAAGGACATCTGTTGCTGGGTTCCTTTGTTTTGAAGACAAGAGACTCCTGAGTATCTGCCTTACCTGTGCATTCATGGGATGTTATACCCTAAGTTGTGATTAGAATATGAACTTAAGCATCCTTTAAAGATTAAAGATGCCAAAGAGCAGGTAGAATTTTGATATTGCTTCTGTGTAGAGTTCTCACCTACAACTTGGACCTGTTTTCCCAAGGTCTAGTGAGCTGGTCTTCTCATTTTGAGTGTGAGATGAAGTTTAAAATTATCAGAAGATTTGAAGACACAGGGAAGGGATTGAAAGAGTCATTGCAGCTCATCCACAAAGCCTATGCTAACCAAGAATAGAGCAGGTGACCATGGGGATAGTGACCACACTGTTGACCGTGCTGTTCCTTTTTGACATGGTGTTACCTCCTTCTCTGTCGTTCGTGTATTCCAACCCTCTGTCCTCAGAGTTGTATACTACGTTGTAACAAAA